GAGAAGAGAAGGCTTTGGGGAGACCTTATTGCAGCCTGTCAGTACTTAAAGGGGGCTCATAAAAAAGTTGGCAGCAGACTTTTTAGCAGGGCCTGTTGCGACAGGACAAGGGGGAATGGCTTTAAACTAAAGGGGGGTAGATTTAGACTAGCTATAAGGAAGAAATGTTTTACAATGAGGGTGGTGAAGCACTGGGACAGGTTGCCCAGAGAGGTGGTGGATGCCCCATCCCTGGAAACATTCCAGGTCAGGTTGGACGGGGCTCTGAGCAACCTGATGTAGTTGAAGCTGTCCCTGCCCATGGCAGGGGGGTTGGACTAGATGACCTTTAGAGGTCCCTTCCAACCCAAACTATTCTATGATTCTATGATAAGAGAAGTGATCAGAAAAGAGACACTTTATAGAGTAAATAGCAGATTTTTAGAAAGTGGCAATAATTTTTTTTTTTATATTTCTAAAGATATTTAGGAAATCTGGCCTCATTATATTAGAAGGAAGACTTTTGGCTTTATTAGTAAAATACATGACAGTTTTAGTTCTCTGGTGTTTTTTATTTTGGGATGTAATGTAAGTGCTTCTGAATTTCTGAAGTGTTAGTAGCACTGGGTTAGATATTATTACTGTATACCCCAGGACTGTGATATGTTATGTCATCTTTCTTTATTTAAAGGTAAACTTTAAGAGAGAAGTATTTATACTAGACTTTTTTTTAGGTAGAGACAGTAAAACATCATCAGTGTTGGCAAAAAGTATCACACTCTCTGTTCCTGGAAGCTCTTCTGGCACATCAGCGGGTAAGAACTCTTTAAAAACTCTTCTAGAATGCTTTGATCTCACATCAGCAGGTTAAAACCCAGCAAAGCTGCTGTTGGAATTTGTAGGCCAGAGTTTCACCTATTGCACATAAGAAAAGATTCCACTGCTAGAACTGAATGTGTTTTCTGTGGTTTTTAGTTTTATTTTATTCTTTAGTATATAAATAGGTAACATAAGGTTTATTTATTGTTATTGAAGTATTTAAATCAGTTCCTTCAGCTAGCATAGGTTGACAGAAAATTACATTAAAAAGTGTTCTTAATTACTGAGGAAATGCAATGATATCCATGTTAAAAATTTTTGCTACTTCTAATTTTAGGCAAAGACGACAAGAAATCCAAGTTGGTTCGAAGCCAGTCTTTCAGTACTCAAGCACTACACCCAAAATACAGCAACATAGACAAGTGCCCTAAGTATCTTTATTGTCTTCATTGCTTACCTCATAGGCAACCGTTTACCTAATAGACAACTGTTAAGAAACTATATGCACATGAATCTATGAAAGTAGTGATGTGGTCACTGAATTGTGACCTAAATTTTCAGCTTTCTGTTTAATTGATTAAGGTATGCAGTTTTGAACTGCGGGAAGAAATACCATCTTAAGGCATAGAATCATTAAGGTTGGAAAAGACCTCTAAGATCATTGAGTCCAACCGTCAACATCAACCCAACACCACCATGCCCATTAAACCATGTCCCTAAGTGCCTCATCTACACGTCTTTTAAATACCTCCAGGGATGGTGACTCAACCACTTCCCTGGGCAGCCTGTTCCAATGTTTAACCACTCTTTCAGTAAACAAATTTTTCCTCACATCCAATCTAAACCTCCTCTGGCGCAGCTTGAGGCCATTGTTGCTCCCCTGGCACAACTTGAGGCATGCTGAGGCCTATAAATTCTTATGAATTCCTTTAAGTTAATGTGTGTCACCTTTTATCATATACTAAAAATATTTTTCAGTATGAATCTAAATTCTTATATTTCTTAAGAAAATTTCAGCATAACTTCCTCATTTAATTTTTTCACATAAACTCAGAAATATCCTCAAATATTATTAAACAGCAGCATGATAAAATTGAGAAGAACACTTTTCTGTAATAAGCACTTTGGTTTTGTTTTGTTTGTTTTTTAAGTAAAAGCTCTGCTACAGGATATACATCTTCAGTATCAG